CAGCCCCACCCTCATTGGGCATGATCCAGACCTGGCCAGCCCCACCCTAGTCAAGGCCTCTGGGAGGGGGGGGGCATAGCCTCAGGTCCCCTGGCCATGCACCATATGGGGGGGGGGAGCCTTAGGTCCCCCATCAAGCCCTGCTGGGTGGGGGGGGGGGGCACAGCCTCAAGTCCCCTAGCCATGCACCATATGGGGGAAGGGGTGCAGCCTTAGGTCCCCCATCAAGCCCTGCTGGGTGGGTGATGTGGCCTGAGGTCCCCTGTCAAGCCCAGCCAGGTGGGAGGTGCAGCCTGTGGTCCCCTGTCAAGCCCTGCTGAACCGGGTCACGGCCTCAAGTCCACTGGCCTGGTGCTGGGATGAGGGGATGGCCTCAGGTCCCCTGGCCCAGTGTCAGGGCAGGGTGTGTGGCCTGAGGTTCCCTATTAAGCCCCACAAGGCAGGGGAGTGCAGGCTCAGGTCCCCTGCCCTGGCCCAGCTCCAAGCAGCCTCAGGTCCCTGCTGATTGCTTTTAAAGTTCTTTACGGAAACTCTGCCTCTGCTGTGTTACGCAAACCCTGCCTCTGCAGTAAGCACAGCCATCTTGTGTTATGGAAACCCTGCCTCGACTGTGGGCACTGCCATCTTTGTGATGGTGTGATGGTCAATTTGCATATTCCCTCTTTCTTAGATAGGATTGTCTCCTCATTTGTATCTAATTTGTTAATTCAGATCCATGTGTTACTTATTAACAATTCCCTTTGACATGCCAAAGAGGTTGAAAATAACATTTCATTTGGTTTATCCAGTAGAGATCTTCATGTTGCTTAAAACCATTACTAATCAACAGAGCCTAGGGTCAAGGAGATACCAAGAAACTCTTAGCCCCTGCTTGGGATCTTTTATAACAATTGAGTCTGTATTTGTTTACATCACTTTTATATTGATGGATTTCATAAACAGCATGACATTAGAATCACTGAGTTTGCAATTATTTTGTTTATCATCCATCTTCCCTGTGAGAGGACAGGGTTCTTGGGGTCACAGACTATGTTTTTGTCATTTCTGGGACTGCTGTATCCATTGTAGTGCACAATAGGTGTGAGCTGAATGAAAGGGGGCATTGATGGATGAAGGAGGATGGTGAAATTCATTTCATTCAAAATATATAGACATTTCCAGAAAAGAATGTTTTTATGGCTAAGGTTTTACTTATTTATTCTACTGTGCTGTTTATTCTTACAAATAGATATGTAGATGTGGACTTGACAGTCTGTGGCATTTTGATTAGCAGCTGCACTCATTTCATTGTCCTTTTTCTGCAGAGTTCTCTACCCAAGTTGTGATAATGGAGTCCTTTGAAATAAAGCAATTGGGGAGGTAGCAATGGCCTGGGATGGAGGAGCCAGGCTTTGGAGCAGAATGATGGTATCATTATGCAGAATCCCAGGTGGTAAATTTGATAAAAGGGCCTAAAATTAGAAGAAAAAATAAATTAAAGATAAAATTTAGATATTGTTTTTTAAATCTCACCCTTATCCCCACTTTGTAATAAAAACATATAAGCTAAGATAAAGGTAAGGATTTGAGGATAAATATATTTTTGGTGTTAATATGATTGTAATGTCAAAAATATTAAAAAACAAAAAACAAAAAATGGCGTTAGGGGTGGGGGGGATCCAGCCAGAATGCTATTATCCTAAGGGAAAATCTCATCTATTAGGATATTGTAGGTGCTAAATATTTCAAAGCTAGGAACATGGGGCAAGACTCTAATCTAACTTTCACCTCACCCGAATCCCAACCCGAATCTGCCTTGGCTGGAAATGCAGGGTCCTGGGGCAGTGACTAGCCAAAGAAGGTCTGTGAGGTTTGTAAGGTACCATTGGGCCCTACAGGTCCTCCCTGGGAGGAATAATGACTATGGGCCTCAGCCTAGGAGCCAGAGATCTTGGATTCATATATACTGAGTACTCTAGCACCATGTGGTTTGTGACAAGTAAATTAATGTTTGGTTCCTCTCTTTCACACATCATCCTCCCCTCTCCACTTTAAATCCAGCAGGAGCAATATACATAAATAAAGCAAACTGGTATTAATACTAGCATATATAGGGAGCTGTGTTCCTATGGGAATACAAAGGAAGGATACATGCATTTTTCCCAGGAGGAATTCTTGGGTGACAGTGGGATTCCATGAGACCCTAGTGATGAAAATCAATAGAAAGATTTCTGGCCGCAAAGCTGGTTACAACGAGAGAGAATGAACTAACTCTATGCCTTTGAGAATTACTATATTTTCAGGTGCGTGTTTTGACATTAGCTAGGAAATTTGATTCCCTCCCACCCCCCCATTTTTATTTATTTACCAGAGGTCCCATGCACAAATTTGTGCACTGGTGGGGTCTCTTGGCCTGACCTGTGACTGGGGCCTATTCAGCCATCTCGCCCAGTCCTAACTGGGGCCAGCTGGCAGGGAGGAGGGACTGCATACCACGAGTCATCACATACTAATTATTTTACTAAATTTGCTGGTATCTGTGCTCTTGAATTTATTTACATCCGTTGTTTTATATGGTAAAAGTACTATAGCTACTGCACATCTTTTCTCAAACTGAAGTTAAGTGACAACATGTTGAGAGCTTGAAAGCAATGATTATGGGAATATTTACACCATGGTAATTGGCAAACACTATAATTAGGGCTTCTCTCCAGCCCCGAGCTAGGTAAGCATTTATCAGCACACCACTGGCTTTGAACATGTGACATCAGAGCTTTTTTACTTCATCCTTTCTCATTGTGACAAATGAGACTTGTTTATTTCTTCTCTTTTAGCTGTCATAGTGGTTCTGAATTTGGGGATATGGTTGGGAGGAAAGAAATGCACTGAGTTATTTTTATCTGTATTTTTCTATTAGCTGGTACAGATTGGTTTCAAACATTTCAGATTTCAACTGCATTCAATTTAATCTTTGATTCTAGTCTTTTATAGAGCTAGGATTATTCTGACTCTACCTCCCTGACCCTGAAGAACTTGCCCTCTTGTCTCCTCCAATCACAGTAATTCTAAGGTCTGGCTAAGCAAAATCACCTTAGAACTTAATTTAAATTCAGAGTCCTGGATCTATCACATAACTACTCTCAAATGATGGTCATTGGTGCCAATTCAATGCCAATAGGAATCTCCAGGTGTAGTAAGGAAACTTTAGCCAAAACTGGTTTGGCTCAGTGGATAGAACATTGGTCTGTGGACTGAAAGGTTCCACGTTCGATTCCAGTCAAGGGCAGATACATTGGTTGCAGGCACATCCCTGGTAGGGGATGTGCAGGAGGCAGCTGGTCAATGTTTCTCATCGATGTTTCTAGCTCTCTATCCTTCCTTCACCTCTGTGGAAAATCAGTAAAATATATATTAAAAAAAAGAGGGAAATTTTAGTCAGTGCAAACAGCTCAATTGTGATATAGTATGGCTTTGAGAACAGCACAGCTATGGAACAAACATCTCAATAGCGTTGCAGCTTAATTATGAAACAGCATGACTGGGAAACAGCACAGCCTTTAAGTGGCCTTGGGGAAGGAACCTCTCAGGTTTGACAGCTTGATTCCACCCTGCTCTGCTTCACTCTAACCCACTCTGCCTGTTCTGGACGAGCGAGGCATTTCAGTGTTTCAGTGTCAGCTGGGGAAATGCAGTCTTCAGTAGAAAGAGAAATTGTGCTTCCTGAGCCAAGGGGAACTGACTCAGATAGTATAATAAGAAGTCCTTGCTCCTGGTCCCTGGTTGGGCCGTCCTTATGCAAATGAGGACTCTAAATTGTTGTAGTTTTATGGTCCACAAGGCAGTGTCCTGATTGGTCAAGATGGCGCCTCTCTGATTGGTCTGTGAAGATGCTGATGGAGCTGTAGCTGTGCAGCTCAGATTAGCTAGGGAAAAGCCTCAGTCCTATTGGTTGAAACACAATTCCAGGAATTCGTTGACTGGTTCATATGGCAGAAACGTGATGCAAGCAGGCAATTCAGTGCAGGCATCTCCCTGAAGTGCAGTTTGCATGAGAGTCCCAACTGTTTTTAAAATTTGAGTCCAGTTAGCCATCAGAAGCCCATTGTAGTAGGTATCTTCTTTCTTAGGGTCCACACTACTAAAATGGGATCCCTGGGATGGAGAAAACTCAATGTGGTAGTTTGTAAGTTCCCTTGGAATTTTGACGATTGTCCCATGCCGCCCAGCTCTGGGGCCACACGTGCCCTATTTAATGGAGCTGCTGGGCCCTGGCCACAGTGCATGGAAGCATTGATGTGTATGATTGGCCTCAAATTCTCATCCTGAGAAACTTAGCCTTCAGAGTCCAACTCTTTGCCTCATGAACTTTGTTCCTCATGATAGCGCCCTATTTCCTGAGCTCCCTTCTATTGGAGCCGAGGGTCCTACCTAAGGAGACAATTCTCTGTAGTGCTTAGAGCCTAGCAGAGGATTCGGGTGTGTGTGGCTTATTTCCATGTTAGCCTCAGTTGTCTACTTTCTGAACAATAGTTGGCCGTCTCTGGGGATTGTCAGAAGGGTTCTGCTTCTGGAAAACACCAAGCTTGGTTCCATCTTTGAGTGTTTGTGTTGTGCTTGTCCCTCTGCCCAGAACACGCTTCTCCCAAGTCTCTGCATGGCTGCCATGTTCTTGACAATTGGGTCAATGACAAACAGACCTAGGAAAGGCTTTCCCTGGTCATCAAGTCTGCTTCCCCACTCAGTCTACATAGCTTTGCCCACAGCCCCATTCATCCTAGCTGTTTACAGTAGATTCTTTTCATCCCAGCGTTTATCATTATTCAGATTCTTCTTCTATCTTGTTTTCTTAAATGCTGAGTTTTTACATGAGAACATTAGCTCCACAAAAGCAGGACTTGCCTGGGCATAGTAGGTGCTCATTTGTTAAGGGAATGCCTCTCAGGTTATAATATAAGTATACAATGTTCATGTGAACCCTGGTTCCCAAGTGATTCATCTGTTTTGCTAATCATTCTCTCCAGACCTCGCAGATGTCACCACGCTCATGACAGTGATTCACTGCTGAGATAACACTGCCATTTGGAACAAGGGAAGTAAAATCTGCAGCTTTTCATATGCATTTGTCACCTTTCATTTCCAGCGAGCTTACAGGACTTGATTCAGCTGCAACTATTTGTTTTGTTGGGTGAATAATCTGTGATAGAATGCATGGATTAAACATGAGAGTAATGTGAAATAAACCTGGTTGGCTTTCGAAGACTCCTGTTTCCCCCTGTTTTGAGAGTTCTGTCCAGGAGTGTGTTTTGGCAGGATGATGGGGATCAGGGTGGTGTGCATCACTCTGTACCCCACCAGGAGGTTGGAAATGTTTATCCTGTCTGCTCTCACTGGAAGAGAGATCAGATGTTTATCCTGTCTGATCTCACTGGAAGACATGGAATGGGCTTGACTAATGGTGAAGTGAGTTTTGCAGATCTGTTGCAAGGAAGGCCAATAGTTTGGCAGGGAAGGCTGTCATCCTGTGTTTACAACAGCCTCTGCTCAGGCTGGTGCTGGAGAAATTATCAAGCAGAGTCTCTTGGTGCCATCAGTGCTCAGGCTGTGGTAGTGCATCTAAGATGTGGTTTTGCCTGCCTAGAGCTCATGGTCTTACACAGTCAGCTAAAGGCAGGACTGTCGTGCATCTGACTGAGTCCTGCCAGGCCGCCTGTAGTGGGCTTGTGCTTTGTAATGATAACATGCTCCAGTTTTTCTTGTCAGTGATTTTCAAATTGCTCTGTCTTTCAGGGGCGGGCTAGGACTGGAGCAGAGGCTGGGACCAGGGATGTAGAGGCCAGAGTTCTGAAGCTTCTCTAAATTGGGGTTATGGTCTTGAGAGGAAGACTACCATTTTAATCAGATAATATCAAAGGTACTTGCTATGAACATGACTTATCACTGTTGATGTTGAATGTTGACTTTGATCACTTAGCTGGGGTAGCATTTTGATTTTTTTAAAAAAATATTTACTGAGGATATCCATTGATTTTTAAAGAGAGGGGAGAAAGAGGGAGAGAGAGAGAAGAAGAAGGAGGAGGCGGAGGAGGAGGAGGAGGAGGAGGGGAGAAAGAGAGAGAGACACCAGGGATGAAAATCAAACCTGTGGCCCTCTAGTGTGCAGGCTGACACTCTAACCATTGAGCAACACAGGCCAGGGTAGCTGGGGCAGTGTTTTTAAAGTTTCTTTGTAGAGTTACGTTTTATTTTTCTCTCAATACTGTACTCTTTGGAAAGCAGTCACTATGGGCAGCCCATGCTGTTGAGATAAGATTTATGCTTTATCTCCTAGAGAGGGATGCAGCACTGCATACATTATTAAAATTCTTTTGCATGGGAGCTTTGGCTTTTTATTTCTATTTACTTATTTATTCAATTATTTACATATCCACATGGACTCATGAATATCTATTTCATATTTTGGGTTATAATCCAATACTATGTTATTTAATTACATTTGGATTTTTAAAGATTTTATTCAAACACAAACATCTGCTGTCTAAAAAATGTTAGAAAACGGTTGTTCATAATTTTTAAAAATCCTTTCCTCTTTTTTTATTTTAAATATCCTATTTATACCTTAATTTGTTTGGGACAATGCAAAGCAAGTTACCACTTAGGATTCAATTATGCTTTTATTTATTTATTCTTTTTGCAGGAGTCAAGTTAAAATATGTTTGTTTAAGTTATTTTTTGAGTAAGAGAGATCAAAGACATTTTGCCCCTATTATGAACTGAGTTTGCACTAAGTACTTTCAATTATTGCTGAGATCACCTACAGAGATATTTATATCATCTGTCTTCCTCAAACTTTTTAGGAAGTGTAATAACATATGGAGTTTTAGAATAATTTTTGGCCTTCTTTTCTCCCCAACCCCCTTCAGGTTTTCCTTAAATTAAGTAGAAACTTTGAAAATGCTACTCAATGTACTCTTCTTATTCTTAGCACAGTGAGAATAGTAACTTGTTATAGGAACCCCCATGTCAGTCTTCCATCCTTTCTGTTTTCTAAAATGAATCTTCCCTGTGCAGTTTTTTTTTTTCCTCTTCTAAAGAACACAATCAAATAAATTGTATGTAAACTTACATTTCACCTATTTTTAAAGCATCTCTAACTATAACCTGTAAGAGATTCTAATGGGCTTATTGACTTGGCTTAAAATAAAAGGAAAATATACTGAAAATATTAAGTTCCTTTTACTTCCTTTAATGTTATAGATTTTCTTTTGTATTTCATTAATTAATTCTGTTCTAAAATCCTGTGCTTTTAGGTGTTTTTGTTTCTATGCTATTTCCCACACACAGAAATACTTGAGAGAGGGATTTTAGTTGCAGGCAAGTCCCTTTTGATGTTGTTGTTGAAGTTGTGGGCAGACAATTACACTCAGAGACCAGATGACCTGGCCATTTGGGCCAGAAAGATGCTTGTGAGTCGAGTATTGGTTAGTAGCTTAGTGTGTGGTGGGTGACCCAGGCAGCCCTACTGTTCTGATGCCCCATTGAGGCCTCGATCCTCCTAAAAGGTGGACGAGGCCCATTCCAGCATGGCTGACTCCATAAGCTGCCAAGTGAACTTGGCCTATGGGTCAGCTCCCCAGAGAACTGAGTGATATGCCCGGAGCTGGGCCTTGAGATCTGGCTAGACAGGCCTGAAGGGTTTACTGTTGCAATTAAATAAAGGGTACCAGTATTAATTGAGGATGTGTTGATAAGTCATTATTGCATTACACAGTAATTAAGCACAAATTAAGCATAAAGAATAAGTACCTAATTAACTCTAATGAGAACACTGTTTTTCCTGATGCCACCCAGGATTTTATTCTTTAATGGTTTATTCTGTGGGGGAGGGAAAAAAAATTTTTATAGTTAAACTAACATGAGACAGATTAATAGGAGAAACTATCTTAAGGTTTATTAAGTATGTACATAGGGGAGTTCCATAAGATCATGAGACTGGAGGACAGATGGCGGGGTTAAAACTCCTATGTCATCTTGAGCTCAGGAGAAGGGAGAGATTGTGGTTTGAAACTCAAAGGGCAGGAAGGCAATTCACGTGGAGACAGGAAAGTAAATGTTTGGTAAAGAAATGTTTGTTGAGCCACCTTTAACAAGGGACATCACAGGACTTAATCAAAGGGGCCTTGTTGGTCCTTCCTTCCTATCACACACTAGTTCATAGTAAACTATAGTTACCAGCGGTGATAACTTCCTGGAACAGGTTCTCCATCTAAACTCCTGTAGGCAAGGTCAAAGTTTCTTTCTGAGTCTTTTGTTTCTTAAAAATAACCACTTAAAAATAGTCAATATCGCAAAGGCATATTTTGGGGTGGCAAATGCTGCTTCCCCTTAATTCGCTGTCTTAGGCCCTTCATCTGATTATTTTTATGCAATAAAAGTTTCTTTTTTGGTTAATTCTCATCCGGGGATATTTTTTCTATTGATTGTTAGAGAGGGTGGAAGGGAGGGAGAGAGACAGAGAGAGAAGCTTCAATATGAGAGAGATACATGGATTGAAGCCGGAACCCTTCAGTCCTCTGAGCCAAACCGACTTGGGCATAAAAAGTTTCTTTACACCCTGATTTCCTAAGGCAGTGGTCGGTCGGCAAACTCATTAGTCAACAGAGCCAAATATCAACAGTACAACGATCAAAATTTTTTTTGAGAGCCAATTTTTTTACACTTAAACTTCTAATGCCACTTCTTCAAAATAGACTCGCCCAGGCCGTGGTACTTTGTGGAAGAGCCACACTCAAGGGGCCAAAGAGCCACAGTTTGCCGACCATGGTTCTAAGGCAAAGGACTCAGTGAGGCTAGGAAATTTGTGCATAATTTCAAATGGCCATAAGTTTGATAAACAGGAATCACTAGCAATGAGTACAATTTTTCTTCTTGTAATGGCACACCAAGGAAGCTGGTTCTGGGGCAGGGGGGCCAGGTATTCTTCAGATAAGGCCTGGGTGCCTTGGTCTTGGGTTCCTCCTCACCACAGTCCCAGAGCTGATCTGGAGCAGGAGAGCTATAGCTCTGGGGCTGAGAAGGACGGTGACCATTCAGCTGATCACCTTTAGCCCTGTAATTAGCCTCTGGGCTCACCAGCCTCCCGGCGCCTTCTCATAGCATGGGCCTCAGAGGACATTATTTCTCAAAACAGTGGCTTGGATTCCTTCAAAGTATAGGTCCACTGCTTAATGCTGAAAGATGAGTTTAGAATTATGTTAGAGGGAGATGTTTAACTGATCATAATTCGCTGAGCACACCCTTATCGTTCTACCCTGTCTTACATCCCACAGCATTTTAACCAGGCCACTCTGACCTTGTCTAAACCACTTTCCTGCCATTGCTGATTACATAGCAACAGGACAATTTGCTGTTCTAGGTGAGTGTTACCCGGATGTAGTGGCCTGAGCACTTTTTTATTTCCCTTCAAAGATTCCTTAGGTTTCACAATTTAAAGGTCAGTGATACTTACATTTATCTACAGTTATCTATTGTTTTACAAACGAGCTATAGAAAATTGGGAAATGGGTTTGAAAATTAATCTCACAGCGACATTTACAAGGAAGAATGGCTCTTGGAAAGTAATAAGCCTCTGAATATTCTAAAGTTTGAGAGAAAAAGAATAAACCCTGAAAAATGTAGCCAACTTAGTCAATTTTAAATATGAGGCCCAAAATAAATACGTGATAAATTTAAAAACTTATTTCCATCAGTACCTGCCAGCTTTTTTCTTCTTCTTAAGATATTTGCATACGTTTGGCTAAAAGCTGCTTTAAAAAATATGCATTCAAACAAAAGACATTCACACAAGATGGTGTTTTTAAAAAGATGACCTTCTGAGTTTGCCTCTAAAACTATTCTGTGATTATAATTTCCTATCAGAGTGAGTCCTATAAGAAGCTTGAAGAACACAAATTCAGTGGCCAATTACTTTTCAGTTCCTGCAGATCTCTCCTTAATACAAACAGGGCTTCTCTGAGTCAGCCTTCTTGGCCAGCGTAAGTAATTCATCCTTTTTGAAGTCACAGATGGAAAATGACCTGACTTGTTAACTGTACTATCTGTCATAGTAGGTAATTTAAGCACACTAACCACTCCACAGAGCTTCCTAGGCATGGATTTAAATGGTCTACATTCACTATTTGGAACTAT